AGATATATAATATTTATAGATATTACTAGTGGAAAATTAAATATTAACATACATGTTTATAAAATTTTTACATTTATAATTGACAGCTAATAGTGGTTGGCCGTCGATTATGTCAAAATTTTATAACTATATCTGTTAATATTTAACATTCTAGTAGTAGCATTTGTAATTATTATATATCTTGTAAATCATAAGTTTAATAATAAAAATTTAACATTATCAAATGTGAGATTATTTTTTATTAATATTATATATTTTTTGTGTATATATAATAACAAAATTAACCATAAATATGTAATATTAGAATTGATAATTTAATCGAAGTAGATATGTGTATAATATTAATTAAAAATAATCTCATATTTGATATTCTTAATTTTTTATTACTAAATTTATTATTTACAAGATATATAATATTTATAGATATTATTAGTGGAAGATTAAATATTAACATATATGTGTATAAAATTTTTACACTTATAATCAACAAGCAATAGTGGCTGTCGATTATACTTATACTGCCTTCCCCACTTAAAACAAGTTAAATTTTGCAGTTGATTTAATTTGAAATATAATCGACAGCCATTTTAAAATATAATTGACAGAATTTCTGTCAAATATATTCTATATATATGCACACCGAAACATAATCAACAAATATCTTCTCATTTTCTCCTACTTCTCCCCTCCTCCTTCCTTTCCCATAGATGTTTCACCCCGTTTCCCTTTTCCCTCTGTTCTTATCATCATCTTCTTCTTCTTCTCCCTTTCATTTTAATTTTTCTTTCTTCTTTCTTCTTCTCCCTTTCCTTCTCCCTTTCTAATTCTTGCATTGCATGTCTTCATCTTTCCCTCTTGTTTCTACTTTTCTTTCATCATTCCTTCTACCTTTTCTATTTCATTTTTGTTGCCATCCTTATGCTTTTCCTTCATTTTCTTTCATTCTTTCATCACAAGCTTTTTATTCTCTTTTATTTATTTATTTTTCGTTATTTTCATTTATCATCCAATTGTTTAGGTTAAAGTACCATTTTTATCCCTCAACTTTCCACTTTGGCACCAAAATTATTCCTAAACTTTCATTTTCAGTACCAAAACAGTCTTTCCATCAGTTAAATGCACATGTGACATTTTAACTTGCCAACAAACCAATTCTTTTTTTCTAACCAATGACATGGCACCTTTTTTTGATGAGTTGACATTTTATTTAATTTAAAAATAATGCTATTTTTTTTTCCATCCACGTAATCTCTTCTTCCTCTTTCACTTTCTCTCTCCTTTACCTTTCCTTTTCCCTTACCTCTGCGAACCCAGATCTGGGTTCTCTTCTCTTTAAACTCTTCATCTTCTTCCTCTTTTCCT